GAACACGTGGAAGACTGGACTGCGTGTCGCGAGTACCACGTAACGTTGTTCGCAATCAACGGCATGCGATGTGCGCCGACAAACGAACAGGGGGGGGGGGGAGGAAGGGTACATAGGTGAATATCGTACGCGCGAAAGACAATCGCGCGAAACGAAAACGATGACTGGGCCGTTTTGGGACGGCCGTAATAATAATACAATATTACATTATGTCGGCACACGTACACGCGCATAGGAACGGTCAAGTGCGTGTGAAAATCTCCGTCAATGTCACGTGTCTCAACGGCCGGCCGGTCACCGTTCGCGTATACGGCGGCGAATTTCGTGCGTAAACTATAGGGAGTTTCCCATACACGCACAGTGCCCGCGCTTGTATGGGGCCCCACAGGGGTATATTTATGGAGGGGCTAAGGGGTCTTCAGCCCCCCTCCCCGAAATCCAGGAATTGTTTATTAAGTCTGCTTATTATGTCCTATCAGATGTAAATCGTAAAAGTTCAATATAATTTTATAAAGAATTATTAGTAACAACGAACAAATTATTCATGTAAAGGTCTGACGATTTCGATCGTAACGATTATACCATTTAGATCGGTACATTGTGCTTAATTTTGACGTACGGTACTGCTGCATTATCGTAATTTCGATTTCTTTTACCTAGAATTGATTTACTGATACATACGCGTTGTGGCGTCTCAATCACCATACAATTTTTATACGAACCCCTATGAGCTAAAAAATTTCCGAGAAGTGACGGCGACGACCGATAACACTATCACGGTAATCGGTTTATGTCGTATAGTTAAAAAACTATACGACATAAACCGATTTTATTTGTTTTCGCGCTATTATAGGTAAATTTTGTATAATAATTTTCCAATTTTGTTTTTAATAGGCTAAATTGGGAAATTTCAGTTGGAGAAAATACCACAGTCCCCCCCCCCAAAAAAAAAAATATCTAAATACGCTCTTGGGGCCCCACGAATTAAATATTACGATTATTACATTATTTGTAAATAAAAATAATATAGTCCCAGTACGCAAATCATCACCCTCGTGGTTGTGTGGTCTTCTCAGTAAACTGGTTGTTATCGATGAAAATTAAGATGGTACCAATTACGCATAGCTTTGAAGTATTATACGCTCAATCACTTGTAAAATTGTTTATCGTCCACGGCAGTTCGAAATACAGTTATAGTATATATTTAGTTATATAATAATACGAAAAAAACACATTTATATAAACAATTAATAAATTAATATATTTGTATGGGGCCCTGCAAAATTCTGCATCGAGCCCCGAAAACCGTCGGACCAGCACTGTACACGCACGTTAGGTACATATTATTATTAGCACTCACGTGTAAATATATCAATGAAGAATATAGTATCGATTGAATATCGTAAATGCAATACTTCTAACTTTCAACGAAAACTCTAGAACGACTCTGTCACCGCAGTTTGAATCGATTAAACCATATCATACTAAGGAATGTTAAGAAATCCCACAAATTTTTAATAATAAAATACTGAACTACACTCATTTTCCACTGAGTATGAAGAATTCATAGTTTTTACAATAATTTTAAACGATGAAAAATTAGTTAAGCTTGAAAATGTTGAACTGTAAATTGAATAAATCAAATGGTATAAAAAACCCTTTAAAAAACTATAGTGATTATAAAATTTAAGTGTTTGACGAGAGTCGCCACAACGTTCACGATAACCACCAAAAATACTATAGTAGTAATCGCGGTAGAAGTAATGCGCTTAATGACAAACACCCGTTATACGTCAACATTTAATCAGACCAAAGTTTTAAAATATTTAAATACCAACTATTAGTACACTTGTTTAGTACACACACCTAAACACGACCCATAAGGGGGGATGATATTGATTAACACCTTAACCAATTACATACAGTATTATTGAGAGTTTTTATACAAATAAACTAAAAAATCGATTTTATATACCTAATACGTTTTATAAAGTTTATTCAAAAAATATTATTTACACTACGCATTAATTTTATTATTGTTTTATAATTTTTGATCAATTACAGATGTTTTCCCGAAACCTCGTTTTGCTGTGAATTAAAAATGCGATTTACTGAAATTATCTTACATATAAGGAATAAATAGTGCTGCGATTGTATGGACAACATGCAGTGTTATGTATTACTATCACAGATTGTGTCGGATTACCTAGACTCCGAAAAATAACTGAAAACGTTTTTGTATGCACACATTACATATATTATCTAAACGCTGCGTGTTTGAAGTGTATGAGGTCATGGTTTTAAAGGAAAACAACGTATTATTTTAATGACCGATACGAAGAACCATATGTGTATATGATACCGTTTGGTTGTTTCCTATTCGTATTTCTTATCGCGTTGACTTTATCTCGAGCTCAACGACATAATATTATACGTTTATTTATATATATATATATATGACGTGTATGTGTATTAAAACTTATAAGTGCCCACACTATTATTATAATATACGAATAGCTTCTCTGGACGCGATTACAAACAATAAAACGTCTAGATCATCGGTTTTATTGACCTAAGTATACAGATAATACGATGATCTAGCGACATTGACTTCGAATACGTAATTTCTATCATGACGACGTTTCATTTTTCAAATCGTTATCCTAACTCATTGTGTTTCATCGTAAATCGTTTTATAAATGCATTTGTTACTATTCAAAATTTTATTATAGCTACAATATATTTCACTATATCGCAAAAAAAAAGATATATTTTTTGTACAAATATTGTTTTTCAATAAAAAAATTTAACGAAAAGTGAAATCCAACGATTATTGTTCGACTTAAATATATTCGTAAGTATATTCATATGTAATATACTACACGCCCTACAGCCTATAGATACTATTTAAGAAACTCCAGAGGAATAACAAATAATAATATTATTTTTATTCTTGTTTTTTAGTAAAAAGCATGATATAGTTGTAGTCTTAGTATTGTAGTGTAATATGTAGAAAAAAAATACACAGGATGTAACGTTATTGGAACATAATAGAGTGAGAAGGAAAATGATTTTTTTTAAGACTGTGTTTTTATAGTTAGAGTTCTGTGGATAGTGGCCAATATCGGCTTTGAAATATTGCCAAAATATATACAACTCGTGTTTGCTGTGTTTAGGGTATTGTTCAATTTGTTACGGTGGTTTATTTTGCCATTTTTTTTTCGTTTAAATAGGCAAAATACGTAAAGGTACTTTAAAAGGTCATGTATCGAAAACGTGATCTAAGAAATACAAACGTCCCAAATCACAATTCAATTGTATAACGTGTCAACAGAGTATTACGAATACCCTTAAATACGAAATGTAGCAGGTATAATATACGAGTCAATGTGGTGCGGACGCGTCGATGATAAAAAAAACTGGCTAAAAAATTACCTACAGCGTTTATATATGAATGAACATTACTTTTATCAATGGACACGTTTATAAATTATGCCATATTACAATATTAGCCTATATATATATTATATTCATTTATATATAAATATACAGATAACTAGACATATCGTTTTGAAAGCGAAAAAAGTGACCTTTTACAGTAAATTCCTCAATACGTCGTTATTATATTATACATACGCACACATTTGGCAGGTATATAGTATGTACATACATACGTGTGTGTATACATACATATTATGTGAAATATATACACCACGTCGCGATAAAAATAGCAGTTATGTATAGAAAAGTGTATATATAAATATATACCTACGTTATATAATTGCTATAGTGATTTTTTTTACTCTACGGAAAACGACCATCACTGTCACATACGGGTGTTCTATGACAATAATAAAATATGGATAAGTTTTAAAGAAATTTGGGATAAAATATATTCTCGAACATAATCAAATTTTTTATGCACACCAATATATTATATTATATTCATTGTAAATTCAGGTTTCCAATTGTCTGCCAAACATGGTGGCAGTATAGTGTTTTTTTCCTTTTGGATACGTATATTGGTATTATAAAATTTTGTAGTTAACAGTAGTCGTTTTCGGAATCTTTCGACCGTTTGCGTTGATATACGTGTAACGTCTATACCGCACGTGTAGAATAAATGGTAAATTGTCACTGAAACAGACGCGATAAAAATACTGACGTTCTGTGAGCCTTTAAAAGAGGTACAAAACTTCCCCAAAAATGTTCACTCGCGTTTGACGATCATCGAATAATACGAATCAATCCAGAATTAACTTGTATACTACATAATATTAGCCGTAAACTTAAACGACGACAGTGTATGAGTGTGAAGGCACAAAATCATTGCTGTGAATTGGTCAGAATAGTACACTCAAGTATAATAAAAACCGGACGATAAATCGGTCTACGAAACAGTTTGTGTGCAATGTAATTCGTTCTTGTTTTTGCAACAAAATGAGCAGGTAAATATAAGTACTGTTATAATTAGTTGGGTATATGCGAATGGTGAAATGTATAATTATAAGTAACGACAAGTTTGTTTCGATACAGCCCACGAAATTTAGAACTTTAGTACGATTATTATGCTACATACTATATTATACGTGCAGTGACGCCCTTATAGGTCATGTAGTAGTGCAGTTGCACTGGAAGTCAAAAGGGATGGGTGGACAAGCGGTGGGAGTTAAGTGAAATATAAGACCTAAATACATTACGGGGAGAGGCAGGGTGAAGATATCGTCGTGATTATTACTGCATTGATTTATGGAAAACGTGTAGACATCTCCGATCGAACTATCATTAAGTACCGTTTCTCATGCGCACGTTTACACTATCGTACCGTATTGGCACTGACCATATGTACGCACACAGGTACGGGAAGAAAGTTTAAGCGATTACCTAATCTATATGTGTGCATACTCCGAACACGAATATTTAGACATAACGTAGACTTGTACGTTATACAACACGTGATCGCAATCGAAACGAACAATGCATATAATTTATAGACTTACGCATTCCAGCCACGTGGTTCTTCTTCATCCACGGATAGATGACCCGGTCTGAAGATTCGCTGTCGTCCATCATGATTGGCGACCCGTTGACCGTGGTCATCATCATCTCGTCCGTGTCGGTGTTGTCATCCATGTCGTCGGAGCATGACCCGTCCAGCGGGTTGTTCGACATGTGGTGGGACGAGGACGGGCTGGGCTGCAGGTGGCACGGCAGCGGCGACGGTGAAGAGTCGTCCTTGATGTCGTGCGGCATGACCGCGTTGATGGCTGCGGCCAAGCCACCCACGCCACCGGCCCCGGCAGGTATGCTGCCTCCCTGGCACTGTTGCGCGGCCGCGTTGTGCATGAGGGCGGCCGGCGGCTGTTGCGCCTCGAGTGGTATGTGTCCGTTGTGCTGCATCTGGTACGCGCCGTAGTTGGGGGCCGCGCTCGTGTAGTACGACGGCGTCTGTCCGGGGCTCGGGTACATGGCCTGGATTTGTTGCTGATAGTGCCCCTGGTAGTGGCCACCGCCTCCTCCGCCGAGGACCGCGCTACCGGCGCCCTGCACACCGACGACGCCGTTGGTCGCTTGTTGGTGGCCACCGACGCCGACGCCGACGCCACCACCGCCGCCGCCACCACCAGCACCACCGTCACCGTGTTGGCTTTGCTGCTGGCTGTGGTGATTGCCGCCGTGGTGAGGGTGATGGTGTTGGTGATGGTGGTGGTGCTGGTGAGGGCTGCCGAAAAAGTCTGGGGAACCCATGTAGTTCTGCATGTTGCCGTAGTCGTCTGGCGGTGAATACTTGGGCTCCGGCATCATCATCTGATGCATCTGTGTCGGTTGATGGTACGGCAGTGTGTTGTGTGTGAGAAACGAATTCATCGCTGGCGCATCCAACGCACCGTCCGCGAGCGCAACGCCGGCCGAAACGTGTTCGCGCGAACGCGGTGTTACGCAATATCGGGTGTGCGGGTCGCACCGCGGAGGCGACGACGCGTGGTGCCCAGGTATTTAGGCGTGCACGTGCGGCGTGACGAGCGAACGATGTCACGGGGACGGACGCGCGCGACGACGATCACCGGAGAAAAACTGATACGCGTAAGGCGTACTTACGTGTATGCGAAGGAACCCGGAATGACGGGCACGGAAAAGAAAAGAGAAAACGGAAAAACGAACGACACCGATTCGTTTTATCGACGAGAAAATTCGCACACTCGCGGATGGGTGGACTGTGCGTGTACGCGACGGCGATCCGGTCAACACTAAACAGACGAGGGACGACGAGACTTTTTACGCCCTGCGTACGGATAGCAATAGAACTCACAACACCGTTTTGAACGTACTGATGCGCGGTGTCCACCGGCTGCCGTACAGCCCGGCGGCGGCGGTGGCGGATGTCACGGCCGGAGCGCGTCGTCGACGGATAGTAGTGGGGAACGCAGCGCCAGAGGGCACGCCCTGCACGTGACCGACCGACGGCCAATCGCAGGCCGCGGCCATATCGCCTACCATGTTGGCTGCCGCCGCGCCGCCAACGACGTCGACGGCGGCGGCGGTGGCGCACACGTCGCACGTTAATATTTTCCTTGTGCCGTCAATAAATTTCGATGTAATTATAATATATATTGGTTCAAGAGCATGTTATGCGTATAACCTAGATGCATTATGTATTTATATGTTTCACGCGTATTTTATTATATTAATAAAAAAAATATAAATAAAAAATTTAAAAAAATGTTGTATAAACAGATTTAATTCCGCTGGGCCAGTGTTAAATTTTACGAGTTTTTCTTCGGAGATTGTTCCTATAAGATTTGCGAGTTCCAAAAACGAACGTAATATCGCGTAGAGATCTACGATGTGCACGTTGTTATACGTGTGATAATCGGCAATTCTATAAGAGACGTCAGGGGTAGGTAACTGGTGGCTCGCGAGCCGCATCAGGCCTGCGAGCCTTTTTTATCTGGTCTGTGTTATATTTTCAAATTATATCATTCAATTTTAAAGTTTATCATCTATACTCTATCTTATCGATATTATAATTGTTATCTGGTATTGAATATTGATAAATGTCTAAATGTCATATGTATGTATATTAGGGTTGCCATATCTATGTCCTGGAAAACCGGGATTGTCACCGGTTTTGGACTTCGTGTCCCGGTGTCCCGAAAAATATTTTCGGGGCGTCCATATGTCCCGGCTTAGACGTTTAGAGGAAATGTAGTATTATTTTATTTTATATTATGACCATTTTATCTCAAATTACATTTTTAGTTTGACAATATACATATAATAAAAACATAATTTGTAATTTACACGTATAAATATGTAATATATTTTATTTTACAATAATATTTTTAAATATTATATTGCCGGCTATTAATGGTCCTCTCCGGTGGTGTACCTATACATAACTTTTGTATGGGGGAGGGATCATATTCAAACAAATCATTATTTTTTTTTACGTTTCTAACGCCCTCACACTAAGAACATTATTTTGTAACATTTAAAAAAAGCCTAGGCGGAATCTGACCGCCACATATCCCCCTTGTATACGCCACTGGTCCTCTCAATATATTAAAAGTTATAAAAAAAATATATTACTTACCCAGTGTGCACTGAATGTTTCAACACATCCCAGAAACAAACATATTACGTAGTACAATCAACGTAACTTTTTAATATGTATACAATGTATCTATTCTGTCTAAATAAAACAAACATTTAACACTCATCCCGGCGATATAACTAGGCATTATATGATAATACAGACCTACAATATTATAAATTATATGTCACAGGGTTGTTACATTATTGTGATTTGTAATAGGTACGTACCAGCAAAATAATATCGATGTTTCAGTTTTTCACAAAAAAAAAAAAAAATATACTATTTTAAAATAAATATTTTTGCACTCTAAGTTGTATTAATTATTTATGTAGTTGTGTTGTGTAATAATACATAACTAATTTTAAAGCATGCATTTGTATTTGTTTCATTACTTTAATAAAAATATGTAATATACTTGTTATATTTTATAACTGTTTAGTTGTAAAATTATTAATTATTGTATTGTAAATTAATCAAATAAAAAACAAACTTTATTATTTAAAATATTTACGTTTTTATATACTTACCTATCTACTTACCTATATATTTAAATATACAAGGGGTATCAAATCAATTATTTATAAGAGTAATGTCCGTATGCATACTATTTGATGTGTCACGTCATAAGACAGTTTTAGACTACATGTCTTATGTTGATTAAAAAATAAAAGTAACTAAACTTAGTTAAAAATCAGTTACTTATTTTGTCATACATAATGTGCTCGTATGGTAGTAAAGACAGAAAACCATCGATTTCCATTCACTTTAAATATCGTCCATTATAAACCTAATGTCAATATGATTAGGATAGCCGATAGGTAGTAACGCGTAGGATTTAAAGACCCGTCTAGGTAGATATGTCGATGTTCGGAGTTCGATACCCGCATACGAGTTGTGGTATTTTATTATAATTGTTTTCTAATTATTAGTAGGTTTCATTGTTTGAATATGACGTTCTAACTATGTTTACAATGTAACCCAAATATAACTTTTTGTTATAAACATTATATTGCAGTTGCAGGTATGTTAGAAATTAACAGATTTAAAACGTTGATGATTAGGTTGCAAACATCGGACATTAGCAGTATCAGGGACATCACATTAACGCAAATTCAACATTCAATTAATGTTGCATATTATATGAAAACATACCTTGTATGTTTATAGTACACATTATTGCACAGGGGGCAGTAATGTGATTGCTTTGTCCCGGTTTCACCTTATAAATTTATAGCAACCCTAATGTACATATACGTAGGTATACGTATAACTTTCAACCATAGCTGTTTATACCGGTGTCCCGACAATTGAGCGCGCGACAATTGAGCGCAGACAATTGAGCGAAGACAATTGAGCGCGGCGAAAATTGGGCGCTGCGAAAATTAAGCACCGAGACAGTTGAGCGCTTTAACATAATATTATACTATACTGAGTAAAAGCTTAGTGCAGAACTGCTGTACATGAAATTACGAAATTAGAAATGAATTTGTTCGCAGTATCTGCGAATACCTATATAACCCGTCAGATAAATCCTTATGTTTGATGATAATCAGATAATGTTATCGATACGGTGTTATTGAAAGAATAAAATTCCAACGACGGTAATGCAGCAGTAAATGTAGACTCTTATCGCTGGATAACTACACATGTGAACTTTGCAAGGTATTTATTGATGTTATATTTTCACACGTGCATACTGAACACTATTCATTTAATTGTATAAAACATTTTAATTTTTTTAAATTATAATTTTGATAATAAAATGGAAATTATTAAAAGTCAAAAAGGTCGAGACCTTCTGTGCTATAACGGATATTTATATAGATTTGACAAAAACAATAGTTGGCGATGTATCGAATGCAATACGAAAAAATGTCGTGGTCGTATTAATTTGATGAATAGTCAAATTATTAAAGAAAGTGAAAAAGAGCACAATCATACACCCGATATTTCAAAAATTGAAAAGAAATGCAATTTTTAAAAACAACAGCAAAACATACTGAACTTAGTACTCAAGCAGTTTTAGGTGCAGTTTCTTTACAGGTAAATATAATATAAATTATTAACTATGACTTATTATTTTTTTTTTTTAATTATTAACTAACTTTTTTAGGTTTATATCGCGCTCAATTGTCTTAGAGCTTAATTTTCGCAGCGCTCAAGTTTCGTGCGCTCAATAGTCTTCGCCCAATTGTCGTGCGCTCAATTTTCTGCGCTCAATTGTCGTGAATCCGTTTATACCAGACTATATCAGTTTCTTCGTATCATTCGTGTCATGCTGTCGTGTCAAAGGCATATATAAACTTACTTCTAGGGAAGTAGGGCGAATCAAATTTTTTTTTAATTCAGGCTTAAAATGTGCAAATAAAATTTTTGGTAATATTTAAATCAGGTGAATCATTTATATTTGTGTTTTTTTTTTTTTTAATCTAACACCGGATTCAGTTAGAATCGATTTTTGTGTAGTTCTTTTTTAACACCTGTCTGTGTTTTGAAAGTTTTGTCTTGTGTTTTATTTGATTTTTCACTCAGTATGGACCCGACAAAAAACTTAATTCACTATTCACAGCTACATGTAATTTGATTTCATTATAAAATGATCCACTTTAAAAAAATTTGAAATGTGTATCCTACATATAATCGATTCATTAAATATGGATCCAGGGGAGGCGATCGTCCCCTTCCTCCCCCCCCCTAAAATACGCTCCTGTGTCGTGTGTATTGAATTTATTATATCAGTGTATATAAATGCTAATTAACATTCATATTTTGAATGACCTTTTTTATTTTCCTATGGTCTGGCCCGCTGGATTTTAATTTTCTAAAAATTGGCCCTCTAGTAACTTTAAATTGCCCATCCCTGATATACGTAATAATTTAGAATCAGCAGATTTATAGTATGGATATAAAATCTATTATAGTTTTTGAAAATGATAAGATTCCAAAATTGTTAGATCTGGAGATTTTTCTACCAATTTATTAATGTTGCAGCAAGTTCACAGAACATAAACCATTGAAATTTTGAAAAATAATGAATAAGTATTATAATAATAAATATTAAATAACTATTTATATGGTATGGGCACTAATGGTTAGTTAATGATTATCAAGGAAATAATATTATATGATTTCCTCAAATTTTTTGGTGGACATAATTGTGTACCTATAAATTAATATATATATAAATACTAATAATAGATGTATTACTAAAACGTATATACGTATATATATGCGGCGCTTAGACTATATAATATAGCGTGCGTATATAGTA